GTCAACAGCTGTTAAAGAGCCTCAGGTCCGTGGTGGTGCCATGAGCCTCGGAGCAGGGTCTCGAAAAAGGCTAAACATGATGCCTTGGGTAATGGGCCTCGGAATAACCTAGGGCCTCGGTTGACATGTCAGAGGCCAGGAAAACACACCCTGATTCAATTGGGATGGTCCCACCATTTAAATAAGATACCACGTGGTAATTATATATATAAGTCGTAACACTATCTTTTAAACTTTTAACTTTTAAATAAAGTAGTTTCACAAATTAATGAAGATAAAATATGATTTGGGCTTGATATATTTTCGATTTTATTGTTTTTATTAGTTGTTTTATTATTTTATTCAACTACGACTTAATAATTACTTAGAAGAGATGATGGGACATATGTGCAATTTTATTGAACTTTTGGCAATTAGATTTTTGTTCAAACCGTGAACAGCAGTCACTTTGTTTCGATTTTTGATTATTTTTATATAGAAAAAAATGTCGTGGGAAAGTTTTCTCTATATTTTGTCCAATTTCGATATTCATGTATTTAATTGAGGAGTTTTGGAGTGATAATCATCATATTTTGTTATTTTTGAAGGAGACACCCACAAACTACGAAATTTGTTATATTTTGTCTCGACCAATGGATAAGCCATGTGACGGTCAATTAAGCAAAAGCAAAATAAAAGGCCGATTACTTCCAAGGTGAGACACCACCTCTTATTGCAGTGAATTTTCGAGATGAGCATCTTTCGCAAGCATTGCCTCAGCCAAGATACTCCATACATATGACAAAATTGACAGTCCTACAATAAATATGCTTTGTCAAGTTTCAACTTGCGGGCCTATGACCTATGGTGATTGCTTCTGAGCTTTTGGTCAAGTAGCCACAATCCTATGGCAACTAGGAATCAATAGTTAAGTTTGATCGTTGGATTGTTAGGGTAAGATCATGTGTCAAGCATCAAATGGACATTACATTTTCTCTCTTGTTATAAAAGCTCACACTTAGTGCATTTCAAAGGCAATGAGATTCTTATATTGCAATTTGGCAATCTTCGACCCGATACCTACCCATATTTTCATTTATTGTGCCTCTCTCGCACACAAATTCTTTCTTCCAAGGTTTGACTACAGCATAGGAATGTTTGCGACAATTGCTCTGTGACGGAGCTTTGATCACGAGCAGTCAACGTGGTGTCCAAGTACACAAATAACATACATGTGGACAAAAATGGAGTTGAGATCTATCGACGCCAAATTTCGAGGTCAACATGCTAACGTTCCTAAATCTATTAAATCCTCAATTCGTCCTATATTGAAGAAACAGTTCTTGAAGCAATGGAATGGTATCTTCATTCATTCTTCATATACTAGGCCCGAGTGGGGACACCAAAATGGAAATGAATGCAATTATACTGATACGGACGATTCATTTGGTAATGGGATAAGCCAATTCTTTGTTGGAAGCTTACTATTGGCTACAGATATATCAAACTTACCCCCATGAAAATTCCTTATCTGCTCCAGGATTTACCATTGTACTGGTGGTTTTGTCAATTCGTCGAGCATCTTATGGGCAAAATCACATGGATGTTTAAGTGTAGAATTGACTCTACCATCGCTTTTTTTTTTTTTTAAACACTGCTATCATACATTTATGTACTACAATATTTGTCTAGGGCGTGTTTGATGGATATTATTGAGAAAAGAATGTATTTTAAATAATGATATGATGAGAAATATATAGTTAAAAAGTAAGAAAAATTATTGATGTAATAGAAAACATTATTTTATTGAAGAATGTGTGGTTGAAAACGAATTTTAAAAAAATGTATTTTAAAAGAATGTGTGTCAAACAGGGGCTTAATGAATGTTTATTCGAGTCCACTACACTAGTGAATACCTATTTGAGGTTTGAGGATATTCTTCATAAAAATTGGTTTAAAAGTTGAACTCCGTGAAATCAGACGTCTTTTGGAAGACCCTAGTTAAGAACAAGAGCATGACGCCATGACTTGGAGAGATCTACTTTTCAATTGAATGCACGTTCGGCAACTACTACGAAACCCTGAAATTAAAAGGACAAAAGAAAGGACAACCAAAAAAACGCGTACTCTCAACTTAAAATGGGTCATCCCGACAAAGAAAAGGAGATAGAGTGATTATTTACGTTGCAAACAAATAAGCAATGACTTTCGCAAAAAAAGTACACGAAAGAAGAAATGGTATATTGCTAGTATATTCTCCAAGTTGATTTGGTTAGTGGTAGTCCATAACTCCACGTTCTGTGGACTGGACTCGCTTGTTCGAGGATTGAGACAAAATAAGTAAACAAAAAAAAGTAAAGAATCAAAATAAATTGTGAAGCAAATTTTCATATAAATAAGAAAAAAAAAATGAAATATCCAAACAAGTTGCTATAGCCTATAAGTAGTGGATCACATTTGCACTTATCAAATCTAGCCTTTGAAAAAAAAAAAAAAAAGGTTTTGGACCCCATCAAATAGGGGTGGGCGCGGGTCAATTCGGTTCAGTTCGATTTTTTTCGGTTCCATAAATTTTCGGGTATTTAGTAAATGAAATCGTCGGTTCCAAATATAATTTTGAAACCGTTCGGATTCGGTTCCGTTCCATTCGATTCCGTACTATAATTAAATTTTTTAACATTTAAAATAATATTACATAAATACACCTGAAAGTAGATACTAATATTAATAACAAAAAGTAGATATAAATATCAAATTCAATCTTAACTTTTACAAATTAACATAATTTAATTTAATAACATATAAATAATAAGTTGTCAAATACAAATACGAAAAAGTAAATATTACTAATAAAACTTCGATAATTCATATCAATAATTCAAACATTCAAGTCTACATAAAAATAAAATATAAATTAGAAGTAATAAAGATAAAATATTTTAAAGTATTGATAATACTTACCAACTATTTAATGTAATAATCAATTGCTTGACTTTCCATACTAACTACTAAGAGACTATANAATAAGAAAAAAATTATTAATTTATTTAGAAAAAATAAAAGAAATTGATTTATCCAATATAAAAAAAAAAATTCGATTCTTATTCGGTTCTTCGGTTCTGGGTCTAGAATCGAAAACCGAACCAAACCAAACCATTCGGTTCTCGATTCGGATACCCGTTCGGGTATTTCATTTAAAAAAACCCGCTCGGTTCGGTTCGGTTCAATTCGGTTCGGACATTTTGCCCAACCCTACCATCAAATGGTCCTGTCCATTGCAGCACATTCACAAGAGTAATATTATTCATCCTCAATGAGATTACAAACACAATTTTAGTGGTTCTAAATGATCGATTAAATAAAATGTGAAATTAAATGACTACCTATCATTTAATATCATATTAACGTTATCTGGACTGTGTTTGTAACTCCAGTAATGATGAATAACATTACTCTTATCACAGTTCTTCGAGGAAGAGACCTCGATATTAATGAAAGTGGTCCTGAACTTTTTCAAATTATAATTTCCACCCAAGAACGTCGGCCACCAGTCACTTTCAACAATTGGTCCTGCAAACACAATCCGTTCACATCCGGGCAGAACCCAATTTACCTACACCAATCAATTAGAACCCGTGAGGCAAGACCACAGCCACATTTACGTCCAACCGAGCTCTCTATATAATATATATTCGTCCCTATAATCTACACCTACTACCACCTACAGCCAGTGAATTCTTTTCCTTTTTTGAAAAGAAAGTTTGTATTTTGTGTCCCTTTTTCGTCATCTTTGCAGAAATTTGAAACTTTTTAGAGTTTCTTTGTTCGAGTGAGTTCGCCGGCGATTCCGTGGAGGTTTTTAGAGGCGTTTAAGGTGGGTGTAAAAACCAGGGGAAGACAAGTTGTAGACATCACGGCTATATTCAGAGTAAATCGATCTCTTATCCATGTCCGGTCTGTACGTCGCAAGGGTTGTGTAATTGAGAGCAACCATTTGCCGCACGGCGGACGTGGCGCTTTGCCTTCTGAAGGCGGCAGCCCTTCTGACCTCCTCTTCCTCGCCGGCGGTGGTTTAATCTATTAGCTTCCATCTTCTGTATATAACTATAGAATCACAATTCGATTTAATTATTAGTTAATTTCATAAGGATCTGTCTGCGTTTTGGGTTTGGGGTTGGTGGGTCTTCTTTGTAATTGCTGAAGAAAAGTATATGTTTTAAGAGATCTAAAGATGATGCTGAGGATCAAGAGAGTTCCTACTGTTGTTTCCAATTTCCAAAAGGAAGAGGCGGAGGAAGACTCCCGCCATGCCGGCGGCTGCGGCCGTAATTGCTTTAGAAACTGCTGTCTTCCAGGTATTTAATAGAATCTTATGAATTGAAAAATTGGGAATTTTTTCTTTAATTTGGGTTATGAATATACTTGCATTTTGATTGAATTAGGGGCAAAGCTGCCTATGTATACTTTCAAGAATGTGAACAAGATTGAAGGTGAAAAGAAATCAGTTGTCTCTGAAAACAAAGAGCACCCAGTAGCCTTCCTGGACTCCCTTCTTCTTGGGGAGGTAATGATTTTGGAAAATTACTTTTATTTTTACCGTCCTTTTAACTCAAATTCATATAATTTAGCTCAAATTACTGTTATGTGGTGGTAGTGGGAGGATCGGATGCAGAGAGGCCTCTTTCGCTATGATGTCACTGCTTGCGAAACCAAGGTGTCTTTTTCGTCACTTTCTTAATTTTGGCGTGTCGGTGGAAATAAATATTTTCTGAAGTTGCTTTGTTTTTTGTCTTTGTTACGTTTAATTGAATGTGAATGCTTATGGTCTATAGGTGATTCCTGGTCAATATGGCTTTATTGCACAACTGAATGAAGGCAGGCACCTCAAGAAGAGGCCAACGGAGTTTCGGGTTGATAAGGTCTTGCAGCCCTTTGATGAAAATAAGTTCAACTTCACTAAGGTTGGGCAAGAGGAAGTCCTCTTTCAATTCGAACCAAGCACGGACAACGAAGTCAAGTTCTTTCCAAATGCACCTATTGACATCGAGAATTCTCCTAGCGTTGTTGCCATCAATGTACATCTCTATTTCGTTGGTTTATCTTATTCTAAGTTTCTCATAAAGGCATTTTGGTGTAATTTGTAGTAACAGGCTGTTAATATTTTGTGTGTATACATATATAGGTTAGTCCTATTGAATATGGACATGTCCTGTTGATCCCTCGGATTCTTGAATGCTTGCCTCAAAGGATTGACCGGGAAAGCTTCTTGCTTGCGCTCTACATGGCTGCAGAAGCTGGAAACCCCTACTTCCGCTTGGGTTACAATAGCTTGGGTGCATTTGCAACCATCAATCACCTTCACTTCCAGGTTTCTAACTGCATTTCACTTTGTATTTTGTGAAGTTAATAATTTGTTTCACATCAACACTGCCATGGCAATTAAATTGTATTATTATTGTGATGACAGGCCTATTACTTAGCTGTTCAGTTCCCCATTGAAAAGGCTCCCACTAGGAAGATAACAACTACAAGTGGGGGTGTGAAAATCTGTGATATTCTTAACTATCCGGTCAGAGGTCTTGTATTCGAGGGTGGAAATACTCTGGAGGAACTATCGAATGTCATCTCAGACTCCTGCATTTGCTTGCAAGACAACAACATTCCTTATAATGTTCTTATTGCTGATTCTGGAAAACGAATTTTCCTCCTTCCACAGGTGAAAATGTGTGATTCCATGCCGCTTTTTGCAACCCTGTTTAATTGTGATTTTCACATTGGGCAATGATTCACATTTTTTTAGTTCAGTCAGTCATCTGCTAACTTTCAATGTTGTACTGACAGTGCTATGCCGAGAAACAGGCTCTTGGAGAAGTGAGTTCTGAGCTTCTAGACACTCAAGTTAACCCAGCAGTCTGGGAAATTAGTGGACATATGGTATTGAAAAGGAAGGAGGACTATGAGGAGGCATCGGAGGAAAATGCTTGGAGGCTCCTAGCTGAGGTTTCCCTGTCTGAAGAGAGGCTCCACGAAGTGAAGGACCTTCTTTTTGAAGCCATTTCTTGCAGTATGGAGGAGGACAAAGGTGTTACACAGAACATCCTCGAGGAGTCAGATGTCAGCCCTCAGTCTCTTGAAGATGTCGATGCCCTTAAAGGCTCCCACCCTGCTATAATGTCTGTGTAGCAGAAATTAATACTGGGTTCTGAGCTAAAAATTGGCTTTGTTGAAAGGATCTCGGTCCTGCTTCTTATTTGTTATCAAATGTGTGCTTTATGTCGGATTTCCTATGGTTTCCATTGTGGATATTCCTAAATAATGCAAACTATGTTTGCTCTGTTGTTGGAATGTGTCTGTAACTTTATGTAGTGGGTGCTAATCCACATTTGCGTGTAATCTATTGTGTGCAATGAAACCTTTGTTCTAAACCTCTCGATCTTGTGTTGATTTTATATTTTTTCCCAGAAGAAGCACAAGTTGGACCAAAGGGACCTTGTTTCTTAAACAAATTTAAAAGAAAAAATGCAGAAAAAGAAAGATACAGCAGGCATGTATATTCGATTCGTTGTAGCACTTGTAACGAGAGACCGTGTGTTTATTTGTTTTTTCAGCTGTGGGTAATGTGTGGATAACAATTAGAAAGTTGGTTTGACCAACTTAATGTATAAATTAAGTAATCCCAAACACGTTTGTTTTATGCTGCATGAAATAAAGAACGAACCAATACAAGATATGAAAAGAGTACGCTACATCCTCACTAAATCCAACATGTGAAGGGTTGTATAGACTTGACAAGAAAATATATCGACTTATAAAAGTGCAAGTCTTTAACTTTGTTGTATCTTGAGTCGACTATTTACCAATGAAAGATTATATGGATTTTTTCTATTTACCTTATAAAGAATTAAATATAACTAAACCTATACAAAACTTGATTTTCCCTAATTAATATGAAAATTGACATAAATTTGAAAACAAAACAAGAAATTCGAAGACATCTTTGAAAAGAAGTTTAGATGATAGTAATTCCAAAAGCCTCCATTCACCAAGAACTCTACAAACACATACTTTCGCCAATTAACGAACAAAAGTCGACACATCCATCTTAGACTCTAGATTCCGGTTTTACTGAGTGCTTGTTTGATAAAGATTAAAATTCAATTAAAATTGAAAATACAGCCGCTATTGGGTCACACTCGTCTAATAAAAGTCAACAATAACGGCTAAGTTTTCAATTTTAATCCGATTTTAATCTCTGTCGAACACGCCCTGAGTTTCCTTAATCTGTCCGGAGGAAAGAATACGGGTGATATACCAAGTTCAATGACAAAGTTTATAAATGGATATTTCACACCAAAGACCAGTAATCGAGATATCTACAACCCCTTCTCTTAGAAAAATCAGACATGCAGATTAGTATTGAAACTCCAGAAGGCCTTACAGTTCTCTTCATCCTTCACTAAGAAGCAACAACACCTCCGGTTTGATGCAACATAGCATCTATCTCATCGCCGTCCTCCAATTTCAGCTGTAGAGAATAAATGCATATGTTAAAGTTTCTGTATTTTGGAGAGGAAGTAGTGAACTGGACAAGTGAATTCGGGAATGAGTTTGTGTGTGAGAGATAGAGAGAGAGAGTGAGAGGGCGATTGAGGCGAAGAGAAGTAACCTCATTAGGAGTCTGCTCTGGTCGTAGGAGACGGCCATCAAACAAAAACACTGTGGTGTCCAACTGTAATGATTGTCGTACACAATAAGCATTCATTAGCTTCCTCAGTTGCACGCCTCTCTTTATCTTGTAATACACTTCATTTCCATTCTACATAAAAGTAACAAATTATTTGTGGTTCATTGTTAAGAGACTTGAATTAAGAACTGCAAAGCTATTCAACTTTGAAGATGTCAAATGATATAGATCCAATCAACACTATTGCACATTGGCGACATTAAAAAGAAGCTCAGTCTTACCCCTGATCCCTTTTCTTCTGAAAATCCAAAATAAGTTTGCTTATACTCAATGCAGGAATATTAAGAATTGGGTTCCATCTTAAAAGGTCAACCTTATTAAGAGGAGTAATCTAATCCTTTATAAATAGGTTTGTGTTTACATTTTTATTCGATGTGGGATTCTATCCCTTAACATGCCTTAACATGCCCCACAAGATGGTAGCTCGTTTAAGCAGACCAATCTTGAAATCCGTATGCTCACTTTTGGAGTCTTAACCGGATCGAGTTGCTCGTTAGAGCTTAACGGGTTCTGATACCATATTAAGAATTGAGGTTCCATCTTAAAAGGTCAACCTTATTAAGAGGAGTAATTCAATCATTTATAAATAGGTTTGTATTTACATCTTTATTCGATGTGGGATTTTATCCCTTAACGTGCCTTAACAAGGAAGAACTAAGAAGCGCAACAAATGACAAAATTGACAGCACTCGCCCCCTTCCCTTCTTGTAGAACATTTTTTTTAACAAAACAAGTATTTTGGATCCAGTACCACAAGAATTTCGAGACATTAAAAATATTTAAAAATCCAAAAATTGCAGCAAAATTCAATAGAGTAGAACTCTACTGATTGTTGTACACAATAAATGAACATTAGCATCCTAAGTTGCGTGCTCGAAATACAGACAGAATTCATAGTCCCAGCAAAAATTTCAAGACAGTTAATTTGCTTTAGAATTTTTATTTGCAGTTCTCTATAAAGAATTGCAAAGAAACTGTAAAGCTATTCGACTTTGAAGATGTCAAATGATTTCGATCCAACAACACTATTACAATTGGCGACAACCCTCCAAAATAACATGATTGCTGCCAGAGTTAGAACCACATGATTTCGAGGGTTACATACGTTCTCCACCAAATGCATATCATTGTTGAATTACGATAGAAGATGAATTTTAACTTGCCATGTAAAAGTAAACAGAGGGGAGCAAGTTTGCTTATACTCATGGATGAAAATGCAGGAAGAACAAAGAAGCCATTGCAAAAATAAAATTGCGACAAATGACAAAATTGACAGCACTCTCCCCCTTCCCTTCTTGTAAAAACATTATACGGCAGCAAGTAGTTTGGATCCAATATCACAAGAATTTCAAGAAATGCAGTAAAATTGAAGAGAATAAAGTCATAAACAGACTCAAAACAAAAAACATGTAAAACTCATCAATCACCCATACAATTCATCATAGAGAATTCTTCTACATCAATTTCAAAAGCAAGAAGTAAAGCAAAATAAATTGATGAACATAAAGTAACTAAATTCCAAGTCAATCAAGTAAAAAAGAAACGTAAGGAACACATAAACATGATTACACAACTATTAATACAAAAATTCAATGGAAGAAATGTATCGAAAATGTAAAGAAGAAGTGATTGATACCTGTCCCTTAACTTTCAGATGAATGTAAGGCGATGGAGTGGTAACGGAGTTCCTGTCTTCGACGTTCGACATTTTCTCTATCGCTTTCTCCAGCTGTTTTTTTCCGCGCCCAATTCGCTTTTTCAGCATTGCAGGTAATGCGAAGATTTGGATTTCTATTTTAAACGTCAAGATATCATATCGAGGGTATTCTTGACCTTTCGCCTTTTTTTCAACTATAAGTTTGTGGATTATTTTCCATAGGGACCGGCGCATTGTAAGCAATTAGCTTATTATAGCTCAAAATTCTAATCTTGACCGGTCATTGACAAGGTGAATGTATTTAGGGCTGCAATTAATCCCCACGTACCGAGATTATTTTCAAAGGGGCTCATCAGAATACTCACACGGGTGAGCCCCACCATGTACTAGAACAAAAATTATGCACAGGACCCACATGTGTGAATAAGTGATCTGTGAAATCTTTTTTGTATGTGAAGCATAATTCTTAGGGCTAGGCAAAATAGACACAACCCAGATCGGTTTGGGTCGGTTAATAGCTGAAAATAAGTGGGTTGGTTCGAAACATTTAAAAATTGGTTAATTTCACGTATGGCCACTGTACTTTATATTTAATGTCGTCATGACCACTCAAATTAATTTTGATTCTTCGTGGCCAGTCACTATGCTTCATACTTAATATTATCATGATCACTCAAATTACTTTTGATTCGTCATGATCACTCAACTTCATATAACGTTTCGGTCAAACCACCATATTATTACCACGACAAAAAATACACACATTGAAAAAAACTCACATAATTATTACAACCACCAAAAAAAGATGAGAATAAAAAAAAAATTACACAACATGGTATTCATTACAAAAACTTTTTAAAAAATTATGAAAGTAGAAACAATTTTATTTTTTTAGTTTTTGGTTTCTGCTAACACAAAATATAAAACTAATCACACACGTTCACATACAAAAATAATAATTAAAAAAAAAGCCACTATCAGAAAAAAATATATAATATAAATCAAACCAAAATCAAGAACAAAATATATGATGTTAGGTGATCATGGTGAATCAAAATCAATTTGGGTCAGTAAGATTACAAATCGTCGGGTTCGTTTCCATCACCAAAGTGGGTTGTATCAGCTTCAAATTGGTCAAACTTGACGAAGTAGGGTCTATAGGGCCCTAACCAAAAACCGACCCAACCCAAACCAATGCGCATCCCTAAATGTATCAATGTATAACTTCAACTTTACTGAAAGAACTGCATTTAGTGCAACCTCCCATAGAGGTCATTACGCCAAACACCACAAGAATCAGAAAGTAAACAGTATATTCACTTTCGAGAAAGGAAATGAAAAATCAAAGCAATTGAAATATAATTGCAGATCAAATACTTGGAACAAGTTCAAAATTATGTCAAATAGTAACAGCAAGCTAGAATGATTCCGAAATTTTGTACTACAACTTCCTCCAAGGCCTTGACAATGGCTTAATCCCTCTAACTACGCAGCAACAGCAGCAGCAGCAGCACCTCCAGTCTGATGCAGCATAGCATCTATCTCATCCCCATCCTCCATTTCGAGCTGTTAAAAGAAATACCACAAGTTAAAAACTTTCTGCTTTTGAGTTCATGAAGTTCTAGCTATATCTGTGCACGTGTGCAATTTCTACGGATGTTCATTTAAGGTTTAAGACTAACTTTATATAAGCAAGACATAAGTTTTTAGATGAGGTCGTTAATTGCACATGGCAATTTCAAGAATAGCCAGCCCACAAAACTGTCCATGTGTCAAGTTTTAATGAAGAAATGAAACAAGTTTACTCTGAGTTCAACTAGTTGCAAATAGTAGTAGAGATATGTTCGCATCAAAACCACTTTGCTCAATGAATCAGTTGATAGTAATCACGAGATGTGTATAGTTGTCGTAAATGATGAGTAGCTTTGTCAGATACAGTCCGGCGGGGGGCGTTCTGTTGGTGTGTGTGTGTGTGTGAAAGAGAGAAGGGGGAGGGGGAATTGAGGGAAAGAAGACCTCATCAGGAGTCTGCTCTGCACGGAGGCGACGCCCATCGAACAGAAAGGCAATTGAGTTGAAATCAACCGATTGTCGTTCACAATAGGCATTCATGAGCTTCTTTAGCTGTGTGCTTCTCTTAATCCTGAAAAGAACTTCATTTCCATCCTGCATAAAGCTTCATTATTGAGTTAATAATGCTGGAAAATTCAATAGGCAGTACAATGATACGAACATGATACGAAAATACACAGCTTATGAACATCAAAAGAATCCAATCTGATGAAAGCGGAGCTATGAAACAGAACTTCATATTTTTACTGAGTAATTGACAGATTAATCACGAAAATAGAGCATGTTTGGCCATCGATCAGATTTCATATATTTAACGAAAACGGAAAGGGTAATACATCTAAATTCTAACGACAATCTTTTTTCCAATTTTTTAGTCTCAAAAACATCAAAATATTAAATGGAAAATTTTACAGCATATACTTGCTAATACAAAAACGCTACACGGCCGAGTTCGGGGAAAAAATCACTAAATCATACACCTTTAACAAAAGGAAGCAACGTGGGAATTCAAATCCTTCTCTATGCAAGAAACTCATGTTCAGCAAAGAAAATCTACTCACGGATACTAAAAGGAAACTCCCCTAAATCGATTGACAAAATTCTGTAAAAAAACTATAACAATTGTTAAAGAGTAAAAGATTATAGAAGAGTGAGAGAGACCTGGCCTTTGACTTTGAGATTGATGTGAACCGACTGATCGCCGGGCTTCTTGTCTTCCTCTTGACCGGGAGTTGACATCTTCACCGTCGCCAACGATTCGCCGTTTGAAAATAAAAAATCGTGCCCGCTTGATTGACCTCTGCGGAGGAATTTATGTATTTTAAAAGACGCGGAGATAAATGAAAGAGATGGTGCGGTGTAATGAGCGGTCTGGATTCGTTGATTCTAATCGCACGGGCCACACAGTGAGAGGACGCTGAAAAGACATTTAGGCCCCAATTAACAGGACTCTATTTTCTTCTCTCCTTTTTAAGCTACTTTATTAGCATTTGAAAATCAACTTAAACAAACAATTTCAAAAGCAATTTTTTGAATTTCAAAAAATCATTTTAAATTCTTAAAAATCATGTCAAATGAGTTGTTAATAATTAAAAGGGTTTCGCTATTGTGACACGTCGGTGTACAGCCCCCTCACCATAGAGGAGACTCACGATTTTTTTATTGGACGTGGCCCCCCGGTGTGAGCGGGGTGTACACTGGATGTCAATCTCAATGTACAAATAGCAAAATCCTAATTAAAACCACAAAGTCCATATATACTCATCATTACAGTTCTTGGCCAAAGTGGGATATTTTTATCTCTCAATGGAAAATCGGGCATTAAGAAAAGAGTGATTACTGAAATACACTAATTGCGAATGTGGATTAGATGGCTCGTGTGTTTGTGTATGGAGTTGGTCGATGGACGTTCACATTTGTACAACATTGAAATTATTGCACGTTTCTTTCTCATTCTCGATATCCTACAACGGTCCCAACGTAGAAATATACATATTTTTTTGCAAAAAGTAATTAAAAACATAAAGCAAATGAAATTTAATGGCAGCCCAAAAGCTGGAATAAGTTCAATGACAAATCATTATTCATTAGTAACAGCAGGCTAGATTACATCTCCTACTCAATCCTTTATTTAAAAACTGAATCCCCAACTAAGCAGCAGCACCTCCGGTTTGATGCAGCATAGCATCTATAACATCCCCATCCTCCATTTTCAGCTGTAAAACGAAATAAATAAGTTATTTTTCCTGAATATTCTAAGGGCTTCTTCTTCTTCTTATAAAGATTTTCCTAAAAATTATTCAGATTCTTAGTTTCGGAAGCAGTTTGCGTTCGATCACCATTTATGGAAAGGAGAGGGAGAGAACAGACCTCAAGTGGAGTCTGCGACCCAAGAATTTTATCGCCATTAAGCAGAAAAACGAAGGTGCCAAACTCTGCAGATTGTTTGTCACAGAAAGCATTCATGAGCAACTGCAGTGGACAGCTTCTCTTAATCCTGAAAAATACTGATCCATCCCCATCCTACAAAAAGTGTCCATTTACTAGATATATTTGTAAATAATACATATCCAAGCTTCAGGTAATTGACATCTGTGTAGAGAAGGGATACCTGATCCTGGACTTTGAGACTGATGAAAGACGAGTGCGAGCTCGGCTTCTTATCCTTTTCCAGAGCGAGAGCCGACATTTTCAACTTGGTTAAATGAGATCTGCTGCGTGATTTAAATAGAGGTTTCGTGGCCGGTAGGCTCACTTCTGGTGAGGAATTTGTATAGTTTCTAATGACCTTTGGCGGCGTACATGCAAAATACAGTACGCTTAAAGTTTGGAAAAATACAGTGTACAGAGTCAGAGAGTGTTGTTTTTTGGAAATCTAAAATTATTTTAATTACTAAATTTTTAAAATTATAATTAGTGGTCATTACTTAAAAAATGTGTGGTCAAAAAATAGAGAAAGATTCTGAGTTCACGTGACAAAATTATTTTTGTTGAACTAACGTGCAATTAAATATGATTCCGAGAAAAATGTATTTTAAATAATGAAGTTCAAATATAGGCCCCTGTTTGGCCCCCATTATATTAAATTCCATTACATTAATTTTTTCTCTCTCTTCATCTCAACCATGCATTCATCAAATAAAATAATAATATACACAAATCAAAAACTTTTCAGCCACACATCTCTCATCAATCACTATAAGTTTGCGTTCGATCACCATTTATGAAAAGGAGAGGGAGAGAAAAGACTTCAAGTGGAGTCTGCGACCCACGAATTTTATCGCCATTAAGCAGAAAAACGAAGGTGCCAAAATCTGCAGATTGTTTGTCACAGAAAGCATTCATGAGCAACTGCAGTGGACAGGTTCTCTTAATCCTGAAAAATACTGATCCATCCCCATCCTACAAAAAGTGTCCATTTACAAGATATATTTGTAAATAATACATATCCAAGCTTCAGGTAATTGACAACTGTGTAGAGAAGGGATACCTGATCCTGGACTTTCAGACTGATGAAAGACGAGCGCGAGCTCGGCTTCTTATCCTTTTTCAGAGCGAGAGCCGACATTTCCAACTTGCTTAAATGAGGTCTGCTGCACGATTTAAATAGAGGTTTCGTGGCCGGTGGGCTCACTTCTGGTGTGGAATTTGTATAGTTTCTAATGACCTTTGGTGGCTTACATGCAATACAGTACGCTTAAAGTTTGGAAAAATACAGTGTACAGAGTCAGAGAGTGTTGTTTTTTGGAAATCTAAAATTATTTTAATTACTAAATTTTTAAAATTATAATTAGTAGTGATTATTTGAAAAATGTGTGGTCAAAAAATAGAAAAAGATTCTGAGTTCACGTGACAAGATTATGTCTGTTGAACTAACGTGCAATTAAGCCCCCGTTTGGCACCCATTTTTTTCTCATTGTCATTCTCATTTTTTTCTCTTTCTTCATTTCAACCACACATTCTATCAATAAAATAATATTACACATAATCTTAAAAATTCTCCTTACTTTTTAACCACACATTCTTCCATCAATCACTATTCAAAAACACATTTTTCACAAAAATAGATGTCAAACACCCCCTAAATATGATTTCGAGAAAAATGTATTTTAAATAATGAAGTTCAAACATAGGCTATGCATCAAACCAGCTCTTTCGACCCTAACGTCGATATTAAATGTTGTTAAATATCCTTTTGATTAAGTCAAGAAAAAGAGAAGCATCGCAAATGTCACTTTCTTAGAGCATCTCCAATAAACTCTCTATTTTTAAAGAGCATATTCTATTATTTGGAGAACAATTATAAATTTAGAGAGTTAAAATTTTGAATTACTCCAACAAACTCTTTATATTTAACACTGAATTTTATCACTCCCAAAAAATATTTATTATTTTTGTTTATCTTATTTTAACTAGTTTTTCTTTACATTATTTTATTTTTCTTATATTGAAAATTGAAACACTTTGAATGCATTTAATTATAGAGAGTGAATTTGGCTCTCCAAATTCGGAAAGTCAAACCTACTCTCTAAATTAAAATGTTAATTTAAAAAATCTCTTGGAGTATGATTTTAAATGTTGACTTTTTAAAATAGATAGTATCTCATGTTTAAAGAGTTTCGTGGAGATGCTCTTAATAGTGACATCTCCCACTCCTTTCATAGGATATTTCTATATAATTAAAGTAGTTATCTATGAAATGGTCCAAATAACATCATAGTAAACAAATATTTCCAATTCAAAATTTATCGTGAAAAATGTATTAAAATTAAATATTTGATCAGAAATGGTGAAACTGACGATAATATACAGAGCCCGTTTGGTAAAGATTAAAATCCAATTAAAATTAAAAATATAATGTTTATTGATCTCATTTATCTAATAAAAGTCAACAATAACGACTAATTTTTCAATTCTAATCTCCACCGAACACGCCCATGAATAGTTAATTATGATGTCTCTATAAAACATGAGTATCTGAAATGAAGAGATACGTCAAATTGCTACTCGTCTATCGCTAAAATTGCCTTGAGTTCAAGAATAACAATAACCAGACATCTCCTTCAAATGCACTACAAACTCGATCAAGAAGTTAGCCCCAACTCGAGATAAATAAATCTCGTAATCAAACTCAGAATATCTTGGTATTCGGACTTACACAAGGCATTCCATATTTTTCTCTCAATCTCGATTCAATCACCAATTAGTTAAGTTATCTCAATAATGACCCAATTATCTCCTCACTTGTTCATGTCTCCAGTTGGTTGTAACTTTAGATAAGCAATTCGGTCAATTCAATCGAAGTGCACATTGTACTCTGCCTCATTGTTTGTAGCGTCAAACAATTAATGGCTTCAGCAGGGAATACATATTATCTACTCAAAACATATCCATTTGGAGATCCTTTACAATAAAGATTGCGCTATTGAGATTAATGAACCGAGTACTTTTAAGTTACAATTTAGCAAGTTACGTGCATTCTTTTATGAGCAGAAATTGTAACAAATATGGGTGGTATGTATGACACTGTAATTTTCATTTGTAACACACTAACATAACCTTCAAAATAACTCATCTCGTGCATTGTACAGACAAACAACTAGTAATAAGAAAAATAGTGGATAAAAGAAATTAGAAATGCACTCACCATTGCCAGCAGGTCAAGTACCGTCTTAGTGAAATTTAAATTCAGGCCCAATTATATTGTATAAAGAAGCCCGTTTTCACTGTTGGGGTTGGCGTATCTACTTGAATATGTGTGAACCGGCCCAAATATGACTTTCACAACATATGTGACCACACGTTTGGTGAGAATTAAAATTAAATTTTTAGTAAATTTTGATAAAAATTTTTGAAATATGTGGTTGAAAAGATATGAGACCCATGAAAGATGTTAATATTAATTGTTTGACTTTAACTTAAAATAAAATAAAATTTGATTTTAATCCGAAACAAACAGAGCTTTAATTTGGGTTTCTACAGAGTTACGGAAACAAGACCAAGAAAATCAGTAAAAGTCACTAGAAATTTGACTATGATAGGTTAATCCTACTTTTATTGTGTATTATTTATTTTCGAGTTATGACTAATCATTAATTTATGTCGAATTTTTAATCGAAGGTCTTTTCAAGAATCTAGCCATATACCGAGTGTTTGTGAATTCGCGAGTTCAAATGCTTTTAGAATAATCAATTTTATATTATCAAATATTCGATTATCGATCACTTAGATTAATTCTT